CTTCTCTCTCCCGCTCACTGCTCAAAAAGAGCAAGCGGAAGGTCAGGTCTCTCCGCGCCACGGAGGGGGAGTCCACTTCCAATTTAACCCTGTTTCCAAATCCCCCTTCTCTTCAAGCCAACGTCCTTCACAATTGCCCTTGAATAAATTCACATTTTCCTCGGGTAGGGCTCTGACCCTCAATTTCATCTGTTTCTCTTTAAGTTCAGTCATAGCCAGTGTCAGCTTGAATTCATAAAGTTGTCCTTGAATGGATGGGACAGTTGAATTACTTTAACTTCAGCAGCAAGGGTTTTCTCCTTAACTTCATCCGCAGTTTGCCGTATCAGGATAGATTCCTGTATCAATTTCTGGGTGGTTTCTATATTAGTATTCACCTTTTGTCCCAGGTTATTTAAGCTTTCTACCATTAAGTCAGTTTTAATATTTGCAGCGTCCACTTTCATATTTATCACATCCATTTTCTTGTGAAGTTGTTCCAGCGAGTCATTTATTTTCACTAATACAACCGCTAAGGCCTCTTCTGGCGACATTCCATCTTTCCCATCTGCCATAACACTCAATAGATTCAAGGTCAATCTCACAGTCTCACGGGTGTTATCTTACCGCTGGAAATTTCCCAGCCCAGATCTTATGTAGCCGTCAGTTTCAAGAACTTCCACTAGAGGAAAACAGTTTCTATTTGTATGGATACATAATATCCTCTTATAGGCACAGTTGAAACGACCCAAAACTAATTTCAAAGTTACTTTCACTGCTGGAGACAATAGAAACAATGTATCTTCTCTTATGCTAGCTGTCAATGAACGATCCAAACGCTGTCAATAAACATCCCACCAAACGTCGGACCTACTAGCAGCCCATTCCCAGGGTCCGAGCGGCGGTATTTTGCCTCTCTTGGTCTCTTCCGCAGACAAACTCAGTCCGCAACTCCCCCCCCTCCTGCCTCCAAGAGGGGGATTATATTCTTTACTTATGGGAATTTAGTCTTTACAAAAGGCTTTCCAAGACTTCAGCTTGCAGCCTCAATTGCTTCAGTCTATTTACAAAAGGGGAAGGCGGACTTCCTGTATTGAACCTTCCCCGTTTTGATGCCAAATTAGACGTTTTTTTAAAAATCCAATTTTCCCGATTAAGCTCTACTCACGGGTAGTTACTTTAGAGTCAAATTGTCCACAGGAAAAAGTCAGCGCTCTCCGACAACAGCTATGCGGCTTCACTCCGTGGAAGAAGCAGATGATTCGAAGCACCGTGCCGCTCACCCCACGTCGCTCCGGATCCCTGAAATCGGGTTTCCCCGCGAGTGGGGGAGGTGCAAAAGGTGCCCGCCGAATCCCACGCTCACAGGCTTCTCCCGCCTGTGATTTTTAATGGGTCTCCACCTTCGCCGTGACTGCCAGACCCAGATTTCCACGGGGCTGATTCCTCTCAATCAGAGGAATCCAGCCATTGCCGGAGGCGCCTCCCCGGAAGCCCCGTGAAGGACGTTGGTTTGAAGAGAAGGGGGATTTGGAAATAGGGTTAAATTGGAAGTTGTTATTGTTGGGCTGAGTTGCTGTGGTGGGGATGAGGGTTGCTGTGATGTCGGGGATGCTGCTTTTGTTTCAAACATTGCAAGCTTTGGGTGGGAGGGATTGTCTCAGGAGGTGGCAGAGGGGCGTCTCTAGATTTGTTTGGCAGGGCAGGAAGCCTCGAGTAAAATTTAAAATATTAACGGATGCTAAAGAAGGAGGTGGACTTGCCTTGCCAGACCCCTAAAACTTGTTGCCAATCATCTGCTTTTTGCTGGCTGAGAGAATCGGCAGAATCAGAGACCAGGGAGAAGAGCTGGTGGAAGAAGACTGGAAGTTTAAAGACTATTTATAGAAATATTGCAAAATTAATGAATGTTAGAACAAAGTTGGAATGAAGTTATATGGCTTTAGCAGAAATGTTATAAGGAATTAAGTATAAATAGATCAATAGAGCATTAAAGGGAACAAAATAAGGTTAGAATGTGTTAAGATAATTATAGGATAGAAAACAGAGGAAGATGGAAAGGAATTGCTGAAATAATTAATTGATGTGGAATACAAAAAGGGAGGTGTGAGGAAGTCGTGGAAATAAGCGAACGAAAGATATGACATTGAAATTGTTTAATGTGTTTTAAATGGTCTTTGTTTTGTTTTATTTGTCTTATGTGTTAGTGTTTTGTAGTGTTTTTGTATTGTATTGTGTTGCTTTTTGTTTGTTTTTTCTTTTTGCTTCTTTGTTTGTAGTGTTTAAATTTTTGGAAACTCAATAAATATTATTATTATTATTATTTTTAAAAGAAGTTAATGGGCATGGCTAACTTGGGTGCATTGATTTCAGTGGGTCTGTTCTGAGTAGCACTTAGTTGAGTATAGCTAGGGTTGTCATACATCCGTCAGCAGTTGGCAGCCATGTCCTGGCAGAAATCGGAAACAAGTTTGGGAAAATCCGCATATATGGCAGCCCATGTCGGCAGTGCTGTTTTTGCCAATCATCCATAAGAATAGCTCAACAAGTTTAACAACTTTGGCCAAAATCAAAGCACAACAACTTTTCTCTCTGGATTTTTACTGTTTGAAATATGGCAACCCTAGCTATAGCCATTAATATTTTGCCATCGCAGTCGAAATCTGTAGGGTCCTGGGAATCAAAGAAATTGCTTGGTTTTGCAAGGGAGAATCAGACCCCAAGGCGGTGGTTATCCAAAATAAAATTTTATTTTATAGATGTGAGCCATACATCCAATAGGTTGGGACAGGTCACTGCCTTGGAGCCCTAACTCCCTCCCTCCCTCCCTTCCTTCCTCCCACCTCCCTCCCTCCCTCCCTTCTTCACAACACAGCCCTTCCAAACCCAAATTCAGGTTCCAGCAGTTTAGGCGCTCCCAAACCCCTTCCTTACCCCCATATCCCAAGGATGGTGGTTCCCAGGACTGCCAGGAAAGGGCAAAGTTGAAGGCTGAGCCCTTGGAAACCTGACCCATAATGATCATAAGACAGGTATGGGTTGGTCATGCTCCTCACACCATGATTGACTATCTTGAATGCAAAGTCACTCTTCTCCCAATTGCAATTGCTGCCGGAGCAGCAAGGCCCTGACTCGCTGGTGATATTTATAGGGCCAAAGGATTGGCTCTTTATAACATCGCAGGCTGAGCGCTGGCAGGTCCTGATGGTCATGGGAAAAGTGCTGGATCCTGTTGTGGGAAGGGAAGGAAGGACAAGAAAGACACAAAATGTTAGGTATGAGGGGCATTGGCCCTCTTCTCTCAGCATGCATTGAGATGCCACGGGGAATCATGAAGAACATGCAGCCTGAGGGGTAACCCACACCCATGAGTTCTTAGGGGGCAGGGCCCCCTACACCTCTGAAAAAGCAGCCCGTTTTGCCTGAGAGCGCAATTTTGAGGTGAAAAGTTTGTGGGTGTAAGTTAAAGGGGGACAAATTCTGACATCGCAGGTGGTTGGACTAGATGATCCTTGGATTGCCTTCCAACTCAACAATTCTATGTTCTATGATTCTATAATGTTTGGCTTTAAGAAGTATTTTAATTATTTATTTTAACTTTGTAAGATATTTTATTCTGTTTCTATTCTGCTATGTCGTTCACCTTTTGTAATGGCTTTGGCCATACACATGAATAATATTCATATTGGTACATGTAAAGGAATCTTCATCAAGGGGCCCCAGTCACATCTGAACCTAGTAAGATGCATTTATTTCACTTAGAAACAGCTTGTCACATCCTATTTTTCAGTGTCCCCAAATTCTCAGAGCTGCTTGCTGCTGATTTATGATCATTATTATAATAAAAAGATGGTATTATTAAGACGACACATCACCAAAAGGCCCCCTGCAATCAACAGATCACCCTAAAGAGGGAATAAATCTGCAGAGAATTGCTAAATCAGCTTCATCAACTTCATGGACTCAAATTCCCATCAGTGACTGCCAAGTTCTAGAGGGCACCAGGGCTGGCAAAGAAAGGGGTTTTCAAGTAAGACATAGGCAGCAGTGTTTGAATTTAGCCAGGTGCCAAGTTCTGATACTGGAAGTGAGCTCAGCTTGAGGGGAGGGGGTGTTTTGCAGGGGGCAGGAGCTGTGGAAGAAATTTCCTAGCAAACTCACCTCCTCTATCTGAAATAGTAATGTTCATGCTGCCTTCGTAACACCGGTCGTAGTCTTTGCCACATTTCGTAGTCTCCTGCATGAATCTAGTGGAGCTCCACCCAAAGCCTGTGTAACACTGGTTGGACCCAGTTACTGGAGTAAGAAATCAAAATGAAGAGCATGAGGTTGGGGGGGGGCTGGATTGAAAAAGGTCACTCCCTTTTGTAGGAGTCTCCCCCTTTCCCTGTCTCTTAAATAATGATAGGGGGAGAATATTTCGGTTTGCTTTGCATATCAAAGTGAGCCTACTTAATTTGCCCTCTTCAAGGGATTGGTTATCTTAATCATACTCAGAGTAAACCCACCAAAATGAATTGGTATGTGTTTAGGTGGATGCGTAAAGCGAGGAGTTATACTTCAAAATCTGAATTTTCCAAGGCAATTTTCCAACTTAAAAATGGGTGCGAATCTTTGCACATATTGGGGGTTGTTGCCCTTGCTTTCTCCACTTGCCAAACCAGCCACACCCTTTGCCTAACCCCACACCTGAGCACGTCCCCTCCCTTTACCCCTCACTCACCCCTCCCCTACAGTGCACCTCATGTTTCCACTCCCCCCACAGCTCCCTCCAAACCTTTCTCTGTGCTCACGCTGCTAAATTACACCCTAAATTACACCCTAAAGCACACCATCTTGTACATTTCTTGAGAAGTGGGGTTACCTTTTCTTTGGCAAGTGAGCCCAAGAGTTGGGGAACAGGGCCACTTGCCTTAGAAAGCTCCAAAGTTGAATTTTTCAACCACCCGCCCAACAGTGAAACTGTGAGATCACACTTTCTTCTCAGGTGACCCTTAAAAATAAATAAAAAATACCTTTGTCCTTAATAGGGGTCTTGGGAACTTCTCTCGTTTTCGCATTGCAAAGGTCACCAAAACAGTAGCTCTGGTCAAATTGGATGGCAAAGTGTCGGTCACCAGAGTTGATTGGTTTTGTTCCATCCACAAGGTCCTTGCTGGCGCAGCCTTTGTAGCTCATTATCAAAACATCTTTATCTAAAATGGCGGGGGGGGGGAGAGAGATGTATAAATACAAACAATAGATTGATGCTGTGGCAGGGTGTTCCAAAGACCTTATCTTGGCAATTATTGCTCTGGGGGTGACTTATACATGCTTTGGCGGGGTTATTGTCATTTTTTAGTTGTTTAGTCATGTATTTCAAAATCTGAAAGTCCAGACACAAAAGATTTTTGTTTGTTTCTTTGTTTGTTTTTGCCAAAGTTTTACCCAAAGTTGTTGATGCCCAGACATTTCAGTGATTTCTGTTTCCAATGGCTGAATTCCAGGAATGTCTGGAAAATTTTGGATGTATGGGCAACTCTATACAGTGTGGGGTGGGTGCCAAAGCCCCCTGGCCTTTTTCCCCCTCTGGTTTTTTTCCCTCTGGTTCATGTCTAACTCGGTGCCATGGGTGGGTGGGTTTTTGTTCATGTGAGTGGCCCCAGAAAATGCTGAGAGTTCTTCCCACTTCCCACTTCTTCCTGTTTCCTTGTGACACACTTCCTGGCAGCTGTTTTACTTCAAAAGCTAGGTTGGAAACCAGCCCAAGTCTGTGGCCAAGCATCTGTGGGCCACCTGCCTGTGACAGAAGAGGCAGAAGGAATCCTGGATGGAGCAGTGGGTGTGGCTCTTGCCCTAGGACACAGCCTGCATTCTAGCCATGCAAAATCCAGAGCTTTTCCACACCCTCCCATCTCCAAATCACCCACTGAGGCAAGTAAGATGCAGGTCGTATTTCAAGCATGCAGTCCAGAATATCTGAAAGGTTCTGGCATGCAAATAGTTGAAACTATTTCAACATTAGTTGAAACCTTTGAACTAGGATATCAAAAAGAAATAACAAGCCAAGATTTATAAACCTGTGGAAGGTTGCTCTTGTAACACTACATTGGTGGCAGCAATCTATGCCCCTCCAGATTTCATAGAATTGTAGATATGGATGGGACCACATGTGTCATCTAGTCCAATGCCAGATGTTGGATTCCACTCACATCAGCCCCAGCCAGCATGGCTAATGGTTAGGGGTGGTATGAGTTGAGATCCAACAGAATTTGGAGGGGTGAGAGGTCCCCTGTCTCTGCACTAACCTATGGCTTAGTCTTACATCTGAACTGGGTCTGTGTCAACTCTCATAAACAGCTAGGCATGCTTTTTATTTAAAAAAGAAAGAAAGAAAGAAATGGAGGCCAGGGGCTTGTACAAAGATCTGCAAATATAAAATAAAATGAATCAAAACATATTTTAAATACTTCAATTCTGAATGCATGCAAAGTATCATTTCAGACCTCAGGTAATCCCACTGGGAAATTTAGGGGTTGTAAGTAATTTCATGCTTTTCCTCTCAAAAATCTAGCAGCCACACAGGATCCATCCGACAGACCAGCACTTACCTATAGTTAATATAAGTTGTGCATCTGTGCAAACGTTCTCAGCACTGGAGCAGTTGATAATACCGCTTTCTGGGAGTTATGAGATGAGGAGTTGCCCTTGTGTGGAGTGGTAAGATTGACGGTGTTGGAACTATGACACTTCAAGGCAGAAATTCCTGAAAGGAAGTGTGGAAAGAAAGGGCATGAGATCCTGGAGAAGCTACTAGCAATGTCTTTCTGCCTTGAAATCATCAGGGACTAGAAATTGCCCCCCCCCCTTTAACATGAAAGCAGAAGTTGTTTGGAGGCAGAAATTTGCGCCAAGTGCCTGTTCTGAACCGCAGGCCCAAAGGAGGGGCCTGAGTGAGTGCTTTGATGAGTGGATACCACAGAAGGATTCAAAAATGTCAGAATGGCCAGTCCTAGAGATTTATTAAATCACAGGGTTGGATGAGACCAGTAGGGGCATCTAATCCAATGGCAGTTATTGGATTTCAACTCACACCAACACCAGTCAGATTTAACTTTCAAAACAGAACAATGACAACCAAATTATAGGCATTACACACACCCCAAAAGGCATTGTAGTTAACCTGAACTTATCCTAATACGGTATTTTAAAAAATGAAGAAGAATTTTTAAAAAACCAACGGCACAATTCAGATTTGAAAGCAAAGTATGAACCTAAAAAAGAAAGAAAGAAAAACAGGTGGAGGCAGGCAGCTCCATGGGAGAGTACTTCACAGTTCCTCATCCCAATTATTTCTCCCTGGGTAAGTTTTCCCACAATTTTGAAAACACGACATTAGGCTGCTTAGCCATTGCCTCTCTACTGAGTTCCAGCATATTGCAAGTCAAACCACATTCACTTTCTGGGAAAGCTTCTGGATGACATGACTCTACCTTCTCCTTCCCTGACACAGCCCAAACCTTCTCCTTCTTGCAGGCGGGGCTAAACTCACCTCAAAGACACACTCCTCTCCACCAGCAGTACCCAAAAGGTGACTTAAGCAAGTCATAGCACATTCACTTTCCGGGAAACCTCCTGTGTAGGATTGCAATATGTCCTCTTCTCCCAGGACATGTTCTCTTTTTTTCCTGGGCACATCCTCATTTTCAGGACTGAAATTTCTGCCTGGGAGGATTTTTAAAATTTGACTAAATGTCCTGGTTTTTGTTTGTTTGTTTGCTTGCTTACAAAAATCTAAGAAAAAAATCCTAGTGCATTAGACTCAGATCTAAGGCACCCGGCTAAGCTAGTCTGCAGCAGAGAATCACAACAGAGCAGCAGCTTAAACTAGCCAAATACTCTATCAATCCTTTCTCTGATCTAAAAGGATGCTGGCTCAGCTACAAGATCTGAAAGGAGTCTGGGAGGGCAAGAGTTAATATACCCTTGTCCTTAATAAGAGTCCTTATGTACATGTTAAATGCAGGAATCTTTCACCCAACATGGGGCTCAAATCCATGATCCTGTGATTAAGCCTCTCATGTTCTACCAGCTGAGCTATCCCAGCTCTTGAGAAGAGCCAGAGAAATCAACCTGAGAGGCAACCTATTCCTCTTTTAAAGCTATCCAGCTGGGCCCATCCCTGTCTCTTGTGGGAGGGAGTTCCATAGTTTAACTTTGCCCAGTGTGAAGAAGGTCTTTCTTTTATCTTTCCTGAATCTGCCAACTTTCAGTCTCAATGGGTGTCCACTATTTCTAGTGCTTTGAGAGGGAGAGAGACACATAATTCTGGAGTATCTATCATGTGAACTCTCTCATATTTTCTCTAAACTAAAACATCCCAAGTAATGCAAACTTTCCTCATAGGACAGTCGCTCCATCCCCTTGCACAGTGTTGGTCGCCCCTTTCTGAACCTTTTCCATTTACCTTGGAATTCCTTCTTGTTTCTCTGTGCAAATCTAGTTGGCACCCACCCAACCACCCATGTCTGCAACTCGAGGACATTCCAATAGGAATAACTGGTACCTGAAATAAGAAAGGTCATCGCCAGCAGTCCTTGCAGCACAACTGTTGCAGCTCTCCATCTCGACGCGACACCCTCCATGGTCTGAAGCCAAGAAGCCATCTGAGCCAAAGAACCAGTTTCCTGATGAGTCGTGGAGGAAAAGGAAAAGCAGTCCAAGATCGGAGAGAGTTGGGCTGTTTGGTTATATATATATATCACACACGAATGTGCTCAGTAGAGATTGGTGGGAGGGACTTCCTGAAAGACAAGAGCAGTTCTGGTGATGGCAGGATTACGCAAAGAAGAAGGAAGCCTATGCAAACAGTAAGCAGCAACAGATGTGGATTCTAGCAATAAGGTAAAGGTAAGCGACCCCTGGATGGTTAAATCCAGTCAAAGGTGTGGCGTTCATCTCGCTTTCAGGCTGAGGGAGCTGGCGATTGTCCACAGACAGCTTTCCGAGTCATGTGGCCAAGATGACTAAACCACTTCGGGTGCAACAGGACACTGTGATGGAAGCCTGAGCGCATGCAGACGGCGTTTACCTCCCCACTATAGCAGTGCCTATCTATCTACTTAAACTGATGTGCTTTCAAACTGCTAGGTTCAATATTGCAGATTCTGGCCTGATGTTCCCTACCTGGCAAAAAGAAATTAAAAATCACCAAGACAGTTATATCCCTTAAGATATTTGAAGATGGCTCCTCTCAATATATATATATGTAATAAACAAATTGTCCAGTAGCACCTTAGAGACCAACTAAGTTTGTTCTTGGTTTTTGGCATGCACATGAAAGCTTATGCCAAGAACAAACTTAGTTGGTCTCTAAGGTGCTACTGGACAATTTATTATTATTTTTTAAATATATTTTGACTTTGTCTCCTTTTTTCCAGGCTAAACATACGCAGCTCCTTCAACTATTCCTCATAAGGCTTGATTTCTAGAACCTCCTGGTCCCTCCCAACTTTATGATTCTGTGTATTATTTATTTGTTGCATTTATTTACTGCTTTTATTCTCCAAGGAGCAGAAGGTGGCATACAGGGTTCCCCCTCGCCCATTTGATCCACCCAACAGCCCTGTGAGGTAGATTGCACTGAGAGACAGTGATTGGCACAAGGCCACCCAGTGAGTTTCATGGCTGAGTTGGGGGTTTGAACCCCAGTCTCCCAGATCCAAGTCCTCCTCTCTAACCACTACACCACACTGCTTTTACTTGAAGCCATTGGAAGTGGGATTGGGAGCATCAATAATGCATTAGAAAAGGCTGCACAGACTGTAGACCGGCAGATACAGTGGTGGTCTGGATGAGTGCCAATAAATTGAGACTGTCAAGACAGAGGCCCTGTGGGTAGGTGGTTCTCAAATTTGAGAACGTAGGAGCCTCCTCTGGAGAAGGTTGCCCTCCCCATGATGGAAGAGGTGAGCAGTGTTCCTAGAACAAAATGCAAATGCAAAATTCCCAGAAATCTTTAGAGGCTTCCTGTTTCTCTGATTTTCCCTAAAGGCACGGCATCATTCGTACAGCTCTCAGATGTGAGCAAAGTTCCATTGGGCTTCCAAACCCAGCTTGCTTCACTTCATTTCTTCAAAACAATCAACCCAAGAACTTGCCCAACAGCCTGATGTTGCAAAAGCAAGAGTGCAGTCCCCAAGGGATATTTCAACTCCCCCTTCCCATCTTGTTGTTGTTTAGTCGTTTAGTCGCGTCCGACTCTTCGTGACCGCATGGACCAGAGCACACGAGCCACTCCTGTCTTCCACTGCCTCCCGCAGTTTGGTCAAACTCATGCTGGTAGCTTCAAGAATACTGTCCAACCATCTCGTCCTCTGTCGTCCCCTTCTCCTTGTGCCCTCCATCTTTCCCAACATCAGGGTCTTTTCCAGGAAGTCTTCTCTTCTCATGAGGTGGCCAAAGTATTGGAGCTTCAGCTTCACGATCTGTCCTTCCAATGAGCACTCAGGGCTGATTTCTTTAAGAATGGATACGTTTGATCTTCTTGAAGTCTATGAGACTTCTCAAGAGTCTCAAGAGTTCCCATCTTACATGGGGTCAAATTTCTGTGCTGTGATCTGGCAATGTAATACAGTGGTACCTCGGGTTAAGAACTTAATTCGTTCTGGAGGTCTGTTCTTAACCTGAAACTGTTCTTAACCTGAAGCACCACTTCAGCTAATGGGGCCTCCTGCTGCCACCGCACCCCCGGAGCACGATTTCTGTTCTCATCCTGAAGCAAAGTTCTTAGCCTGAGGTACTATTTCTGGGTTAGCAGAGTCTGTTACCTGAAGCATATGTAACCTGAAGCATATGTAACCCGAGGTACCACTGTAAAATAATAGATACCTCTAAATATGATACAAAGTGTTATCCTTTAGTGGCTATAGCACAGTGGGAGGCCTTGGAAAATCAGTTTTCCCAGGGGCACCCCATGTTCTTAAAACAGAAACCCAGCCATAGGCAGTATAAAAGCCATAAGTGCCTTGCCTCCTGTATCTATGAAAATACCATTTCTAGGAGAAATCATAAGAACACAGGAAGCTGCCTTATCCTGAGTCAGAGTGTTGGTCTATCTAGCTCAGTAGAGGCAACAGTGACTGGCAGTGGATCTCCAGATTTTCAGGCAGGACTCTTCCCTAGTCCCACTGGAGGGGTCCTTGGGTACAGTTTGGCCCCACACACCTGCAAAATTGGGAGCTGCCTTGATAACTTTATCGTAGAGTGGCCATTCTACAAAAAAGAAGAAGAAAGAATTCTTGGGAAATGGTTTGTTTGCTATGCATTTAGATACCTCTTAAGACACCATAGCCAAATTGGATGGTGAACAGAACCTTTCAAAACTGCACTGATTTTAACCAGTGATTTCCCGGGGTTCCTGATCAATGCCAGGTGCAAGCCTGCAATAAGAAATGAAGTTTAAGGGGCCATAAGGGGGCATTCATGCCATATATTTAAAGCACTAGCATAACACTGTAAACAGTCTTGGGTTCCCCCTGAAAATCTTGGGAGCTGTAGTTTGCTAAGGATACTGAGTGTTATTGGGAGACACCCTATTCCCAGTACAGAGCTACAGTTTTCCAGAGTGGTTTAACAATAAATCCCTCTTTCCAGGGGGGTATAAGAACAGCAACCCTGTGAGGGTTAAGAAACTACAACAACCAGGATTCTTTGGAAGAGAAGCCAGGACTATTTAAAAGTGCTTTGAACACTGCTTTAAATATGCAGTGCAGATAGGTAAAGGTAAAGGACCCCTGGTCGATTAAGTCCAGTCAAAGGTGACTATGGGCCGCAGCGCTCATCTCGCTTTCAGGTCGAGGGAGTTGGCATTTGTCTGCAGATAGTTTTCTGGGTCATGTGGCCAGCAAGACTAAACCACTTCTGGCACAATAGGACACTGTGTCGGAAACCAGAGCACATGGAAATGCTGCTTACCTTCCCACTGCAGTGGTATCTATTTATCTACTTGCACTGGCATGCTTTCCAACTGCTAGGTTGGCAGAAGCTGGGTCACAGCAATGGGAGCTCACTGCATCGCAGGGATTCGAACCACCGACCTTCTGATCAGCAAGCCCAAGAGGCTCAGTGGTTTAGATTACGGTGCCACCCGCTCCCCTAGTGCAGATATTACCTGTGAGTGTGCATAGGCAATGCATTTTGACTGATCCAGCTGGACTACAGGGCTACAGTGTCCCAGAGTGGTTTAACAATCAGTCCCTCTTCCCTGGGAACTCTGGGAACTGTAGCTCTTTGAGGAATAGTGATCTCCTAACAACTCTCAGCACTCTTAACAGACTTCACTGCCCAGGTTTTTTGGGGGATGGCATAACTTTTTAAAGTGGTATCATAATGCTTTAAAGGTTCATGTGGATGTGGACAGAAGGAGGGACACACACACACACACAGAGGTCACACATACGCTACACATTTTAAACACACTAATACTCCTTTAACATCCATGGATTCCGCCCCCCAAGAAAAAATAAATACTGAGAATTTCATTTTGTTATGGGTGCTGAGAATTGTTAAGGGACCCCTCACAGAGCTACAATTCCCACCACCCTCAACAAAATACGGTTCCCACGATTCTTCGCAGGAAGCCGCAACTGTTATAGTACTATAAATGTATATCATGGATGAGAGCAGAATCTGTTCTGTGTAGGGTCAATTGCTTTGTGGATGAGGGACTTGGGAACTTGGCAAGGTTGTTGAACTACAGATCCCATGATCCCTGACGGCTGGCCAGGCTAGCAGGGGCTGATGGATGTTGGAGTCAAACAATCTCCAGAGTTCCCCAGCCCTGCATTTAAAACGGCTGACACACGAGCTCTTACTTTAAATAATAAAAAAATAGTTTATTAAGATAAATAATGTTCAAACACACACATATATAAGGATAATAAAATAAAGGGCAGTGACCACATCCTGTGGTTAACAAACTTCAGGAAGTCCAAACCGGAGTTGCGTCTAGATGGTGCCTTGCACAATTTACCATGTCTGATGGAACTTCTGGTTTTCTGAACAGTCTTATGTTGGAGGAGCGATTCCCAAAAGCGCCTTCCAGATCTTAAATAGCCAATGGGACAAATCCTTGTTTCTTGAAAGAGTCCAACAGTCCTCCACAGCAGTGCAAAAAGAATAAATAATAAGGTGGGACGTTTCTGTTTTGCATATATCTGTTTTCATAAATGAAAAAAAGTAATGGCCACCAGGATTTCTCCAGTCAGGAGAGGTGTCTGGCTCCTCTGCCTTAATTTGCAACACAGAGAGCAGAGAAGAGAACCCAGGAGTCCTGAGTCTCGCTCTTCCCCAGCCGCTAGTCTCCACTCCACTCCTTTCTCAACAAATAACTTACTGCCTGATCCAGTACTCAGAAGCAAGTCTTGCTTTGTTCAGTGGGACTTATTACCCAGACATCAGAATGTAAGAAGATGGCCCCATTGAGGCCAGCATCCTGTTCTCACAGTGGCCAACCAGAGGCCTGTGGGAAACCCTCAAGCAGCAGCCAAACAAAAGACGACTCTCCCTTTCTCGCGTTTGCAGCAGAAGGTCATGGAGCTTGTGCTTGCTTAGAACCTGAAAAGTCTGCCTCTTAATCCCCAATGTGTTATAGAAGTGGGCTGTAGTTCCTCAGTGGTGTGGGGAAAGGCACTCTGTGTATGCTCAGAGGTGGTTCATTCTTATGTCACATGTTTTCTTCACAGCTGCATTCTAATGGGGAGAAAACCCTGGAACATCCTGGCCTGGAATATGCCCTGATCTTAGCCGTGGAGATCAGGAGCTCTCTGAAGAGAGGAGAAAGGTCAGAAGGATCAAAAGACCCATTGAAAGCAAAGTGTGTTGGGCTGAGACTCGGCGGCTGGCTTGGCTCCTAGGGGATGGTTTCAGCGTCCCGTCGACAATCCAGTTGTTGCAGAGGTCACCAGTGCAGCAACGGCTGTAAATAGCACCCAGGTTCTTGTAGACGGAAGTGTAATGACTGTCACACCAGGATGGCGAAGCACAACCCTTGACGGCAGAGATTTGCCCAGTAGAGCCTGAAAGTGGAAATGAGGAATGGTTAGTGAGAGATGGGGAGAAATTGGTTTCAGTTCTCATTCAAAGGCCAATTTTCTCCCCATTGCATACTTTCTGAAACAATCTGAGAACCAAAACGCAGCCATCTTCTGGAATGCACACTTCTCCAAATGTCATGATGCAGTTCTCCAATGGGTACAAAAATGTGTGTACACACAAATGCATATATTAGTGAAAAGAACATGCAAGCATGCATTATGAGGAACAATTGAAGGAGTATGCTTATCCTGGAAAAGAGCAGGCTGAGAGGAGATATGATAGCCCTCTTTAAATATCTCAAGGGCTGTCATATGGAAGAGGGAACAAGCTTGTTTTCTCCTGCTTTGAAGCAATGGCTTCAAGCTGCAAGAAGAGATTCCAACTAAACATAGAGAAAACCTTTTGATGGCCCTGACTCAGCAGCATGACCTACCCCTTCCCTATCCTTCTGGCACACTGTCTGCCTCCCCATGCCAGTTTTGAAAGCATTGAAATGATGTACATTCACCTAAATGGATGTTATTGTTCCCACCCCTTCAAAGAACACATAGTTGTCCTATGCCAGTGGTTTACAACCAGTGTTCCGTAGTACCCTGGGGTGTCTTGAATGATGGTCAGGAGTGCTGCAGTCAACACTGGCTTCTTTCTTTCTTTCTTTCTTTCTTTCTTTTTTCTTTTTTCTTTTTTCTTTTTTCTTTTTCTCCCTCCCTCCCTCCCTCCCTCCTCTGATGCCCTCTCATGTCTCTGCCTCCCAAAGGCTTGCACAGTTGTTTGTGGCAGCAGCTCTAGCTACAGGCAAATAGTACCTCTGGAGCTGGCGAGGGGGTGCTTCCCAGGCCCCTAGGGCACTATGAGGAGGCACCTCTCTTGTGGGAAGGGAGGGCAGCTCAGAGACCAGGAGTGGCAGCAGCAGCTGGCCAGAGGACTCCCAAGGAGAGGGGAGAAGAGAGGAGGGAAGACTCCACAAGGGTGAGAGGTTGCCAGCTCTGCAGGCAAGGGGTGACATAACTGGGCTCCTAAGCCCCACAGGGGTGCCACAGAAAGAAGGTACTTGGTCAAGGGAGTCGTGGACTCAAAAGGGTAGAAAACCTCTGCTCTATGCCTCTTTCTGTTGGGATTAACCTGGTCACATTAAACTCCAGGTGGAGGGAGTGAGAAGGAATGAGTAGATGATACTCACCATGTATCCCTGAGGCCTCTAGGCATTGGGTCATCACACCCCGGCACTGCACCTTAGTGATGTCATCTGGGGAACAACCGTGGGTGGAATTCCCCTCACAACTGAAACACGTGACCCCATTTGGTTGGGGTGGGGTATCCTTGTAGTCTGTAGGCAGAATAAGTGAATACTCTCAGTACCATAAAGTTCATCCCAGGCTGTCTGCACCAAAGCCACATATTTATGGCTTTAAATTTGGGACCTTTTTTAAAAAAATTAAAATGGAAGGCATTATTAAAAGGATGCAATGGCACAGTGTAGCACTATCCTAGGGCATCATGGGTAATAAAAGAAAGAAATTGTGGGCGCCAGCCCAGCAGCCACCTGGAAAAAACAGTGCATGACTGGTTTAAGCCATGGTTTGTTGAACAAATTTTGAGGTAACCATGGGTAATTTCTCCCAAACTTGTTTTCCCAAAGTTTGTTCTTTTTCCAGCTGTTCCTACACCATGTCTTTGTAGCTGTGGTAGGGTGGTCAAAGAAACTATGGTTAGGGTTGGAAAAAGAAAATAGAAAACTATGAGGGTTTGGGGGAGTGAATTGACTTGCTACAATTTATAGTATCACATAGAACTATGGTGGAATCTGGACACATAAAAAAAGTTGTGAAAATGCTTTTTAAAAGATGTTTTGAAAAATATACTAAATTTGCCATAGCTCACCATCGCCATCTAGGGTCACATTTGTATATTGCACTTTGCAACACACTTAAAATGTTTTATTTGCAGCTGTATAGCTGGGTCCTCTGTCTTCCCCCCTGAGCAAGAACAATGCCATCAGGAGTTGGGAAAATACATAGAAACATTTTGTTGCAGACCCAGTTGATGCTCCTGGAATCTTACCTTGCGTGTCATCATTGCACTGGCTGGAATCGCAGCATTTGATCAGATGGAAACTGTTATGGTTGTGGAAGCCCAGAGGCTCCTGGCAGTGGGTAAGCGAGCCACAGCCCTTGATGCGCTGTTCATCCCGTGGAAACTCTGCCAGTTGGGAGAAAACAGTAGCTGTGATTGTGGCCTTTTGTCTCTGGGAGGCGCTGGTGCAAATTTCATTGCAACAACCTCTCTTAGGAAGAACCCCATCAAACCAAAGGCTACAGGAGCTCACCTTCTGTCACAGTTAAGGACGTGATGTCTATGCACTTCTCCTCTGGCCGCGCACAGCGCATCTGCATATGGCTGGAGTTGTAGCAGGTCTGGTCGGCTGAGCTGCAGGAATAGCAATGCAAGGGATTTCGTGGGCGACCCCGAGCAGTGAGCATATCCACGACTGCAGTTTGAGGAAAGCAGCAGCAGCAGGGAGAGAAGCAGAGAGAAAAATCAGGGCTGAACTTATTAGGTGAATCACAGTCACAAAGCATTCAGATATATTTTCAGAAATCTCCCATCTGGCTGGGATCAAACAATTTTATATAGGAACATGGATTTAAGGAGGCCAAGCCTACACAGTCATGAAATCTTTTATTTTGTCAGGATGTAAATCTTTTTTTTTATGTGCGTTCACTTTTCCCATTAAACAAAATAATACGAGTAGAAGGGAAATCCTAGATAGATGTATTCTTCTTTCTACCCCCCCCACCGCTTTATTTATGTTTTTCGTTACTTTAAACTTTAAAGTGTTTTCAATTTGTTCTGATGTAGGAACCTACCCTGGGACTTTCCGGTAAAGGGCAGGCAATAAGTAAATAAATAATGTGTATCCATAGCAGTGACCAGAGGAGGAATGACCGCTGGGAGGAACTCAGAGATAATAAATGCCAAAGTACATCTGCAGCAGCACAACTGGACGCCTCCCTCTGCCCCAGCTGCAACCAAACATGTCTCTCCTGTATCAGTCTCTGCAGCCACAGCAGGTGCTGTAACTCTCCAGCGGTTTGACTTCATTGTCCTCCATTGTCTCTTGAGACAGAAGGATGCCAGCCGGGCAATGCCAACTTGACGTTTAATAAATAAAATTTAATGCGGAGAGGGAAACACCAGGACTGAAACTGTGATCCGGTTACAGAAATTAGCAGATCTAATTGCATGAGGTTTAGTGGTTCAAATGCATGCATGTGAACGGATAGAAGAAAAAGGCTTACTTTGGGTTTGGGACCAGCCTTTCACAGCCTGATACCCTTGGGAAGCTGTTGGACTCTGGAGCCCCAGCCAGCATGGGATGGTGGGGTTTGCAGCTTCCCCACCCCTGTGATAGAGGAGTCATTAGGCATGGGGGTGATTCAGCTCAGCTCCAGGGGTGAGGTTGCTTTCACACCAAAACAGATGTTGGGGCAAAGACTTACTGCCCCTCCCCCTGTTCCAAACCCACCCTCGCAGCTGCTTTTGGGAAAACAAAATTATCCCGGGAGTTCTGTTCACGGGGTTCCAATTTAATGTGCTTCATAGCCTGCAGAGCGAATCCTCTCTGTTCACATGGACTGACCGTTTAGCACCCCCTGGTTGCAGAGGTCAGTCCCGCAGTGCTCCTCTGCCAAGAACACGACCTGGTTGCCAGAGAGGTGGGAGATGGAGCTGTTTGGCTTCCCACCCACGTCACAGCCCTTCAGGATGTAACTGGAGATCTTAGATCCTGCAAGGAAAGAGAGAGAGAGGAAGTAAAAATGAAGGCACCATTCTTTTTTCTTTTCTTTTTTAGAAGGCAACATTCCTAAGTGCAGACTTAGCACTCACGGCATAAATCCTGTTTCACAACTTAAGTAAAGGTAAAGGGACCCCTGACCATTAGGTCCAGTCGTGGCCGACTCTGGGGTTGCAGCGCTCATCTCGCTTTACTGGCTGAGGGAGCTGGCATACAGCTTCCGAGTCATGTGGCTAGCATGACTAAGCCGCTTCTGGCGAACCAGAGCTGCGCACGGAAACGCCGATTACCTTCCCACCGGAGTGGTACCTATTTATCTACTTGCACTTTGACGTGCTTTCGAACTGCTAGGTTGGCAGGAGCAGGGACCGAGCAATGGGAGCTCACCCTGTCATGGGGATTCGAACCACCGACCTTCTGATCGACAAGTCCTAGGCTCTGTGGTTTAACCCACAGTGCCACCCATGTCTCTCTTTCACAACTTACAGATATGCAAACCAGATTAGCTCTCACTTTAGGTCTTCCCCTTGTGGTTCTGTTTGGTTGTCACAGACTGTGGCACATATAAATTTGTACATAGTCATCCTTCGTTGAAATAAAATTTATCGACATTTTAAAAGTTGGTGCAAAGCTTCTCCGGGGTCCGGAGTGCGGGTGGCATCACAAGCACTTGCCAATAGGTGCTCGTCACTGCCACTGTCCACACGCAACATGCTATAGACTAGCAAAAGGGTGTGTTGCTGCTTCCCTCCCAGGGCTCACTTGGGTGTGTTAAGACACCTGCAATGTTCCACCGTCTTTCAAATATTGCATGTCTTTTTCTGTAGGTCTGTCTACGCCTCTGTTTGACAGATTCCAGCAAACCCCATTGGGGTTGACTGGAAACCTAAGGTGCCGTTGCTTTATTGCTTTCCACACAAAAATGTTTCAGTAAATGTATCCATAAAATTTGCAAAGCACACACACAGAAGAGATAAATACTGAGGGCTACCAGAGCTTCTCGCTCTGATAGCCAACCCCCACCTCACCCCTTTGCCCTTTGGCCACCAGCCCTTCCCCCACACCTGACCAAACCCCCTTTTATTCACTTGCAACACCAAAACACAAAAACATTACAAGCAGACCCCCACCAATACAAAAAAGAACAATATATATCGAAAAGGAAACAATAAAGTAAGTTTCTTCTCCTTTTATTGGGTGATCTCCCAGTTCTGGTATCATGAGGAGAAGAGAGTTCTCCTTTTTCACATCCTTCTAAAAACCTCTATCTCAGGGTTTGGGTGTCTTTTCCCTTCCGAGGCGAGAGTTTCCTTTCTGGGCAACTTTCCAGGCACCGCATGACACTGGTGGGCGGGGCCAGAGGCAAGAGCGACAAAAGTGGGTGGAGTTACCTTTGTTTGGCCGGCTAGTTTCTACACCAGGCATAAGCAAACTCGGCCCTCCAGATGTTTGGGGACTCCCATCATCCCTGACCACTGGAGCTGTAGTCTCAAAACATTTGGAGGGCTGAGTTTGCTTATGCCTGTTCTACACCCTGCTCCTCCATCCAGCCAAGCATGAAGCATTGTCAGAGTTCAAGCCAAGCAAAAACCTTTGAGGAGGGTGCAACGCTGGGCTGATGAAGGGCATGATTCAAGAGGTGGAACGAGGGAGTTTGTCCTCGAGGGCTGCCTTTGACACCCATTCTGCCTAAGCTGAGGTTCCTCACCTCTGCTCTCCAGCTCCTTCTCATCTGCCTCGTCCTCCCTTTCCAATCCCCACAGCCTCCTCCTTTAAAAATACTCACGGGCCAGTATAGTCATTATGGTGGTGCTGCATTGCTCTTGGTAATCTTCGCAGATCTCCGTTTCCTGGCAGTCGCTGTCGCCATCACAAGCGTAGCATTCAAGGCCGGCGACTGAGAGAAGGGAAGGGAAGCCATTAGCAAACTAGGTTCAGCATAATGCAAATCGGGGTGTATGTGTGTGTCGACCTTTTCAAATCTGGGGGCCAGGAAACTGTCGTAGTGGCCACAAAAATGCCCATTTCACAGGAGAAATGCTGACAATCTGCCCAGCACCTATAGATGTGTAAAGATGGTGCCAGGTGAGCCTCCCTGGGGAGAACATTCCACAAGTGGGGAGCCACCACTGAAAAGGCCTGTTCTCATGTTGCCACCCTCGGGTCCTCCATCACACAGAGAAGGCCCTCAGATAGCATGTGTGGGCTCCAGACCATTTCGTATGGTCTTGAAATGCTTGGAGCCCCTTCCTATGCCAGGTGAACATGCAGGTGTTGGCCCATGGCTATGGTGCACAACAGCATGGCATATTGAGGGGCACACACACAGACCAACACAACTTCCTCCTGCGTTCTTTCACATGTGGTGGTAGGGGTTTCCTCAGAACATGTGGACCTTGGAATTGAGCGCTCTTCAGGGTGAAGTTGGCCTCGCTGGGATCTTGCCTGTGTGGCATAGCTGACAGATGAGAGGATGAGGGACAGTGAGATGGGGAGGGAAGGGGTCAAGTCTTTGGGGCTCCATCCTTCCAGGGTTGGAGGCTCTGCTGAGCCAGGGTTTTGTCACAAGGGTTGTGTGAGGACACAAGTACTGCTGGGGATGGGGAAATCCTTAGCCCTCTGGCATCACTCATCACGCCTTTTAAGGTTATGTTCCTGCCTGGCTGGGCATTTCCTTCCTTCTGCTTGGAAATGTCCAGCTCAACAGGATGTGAATATATTACACATCTGTCAGGTGTGAAGAAATGAGGTCAGGCGGCCAGGCTTTGGCAGACAAAGGATTTCTCCGGTTTAAAATTATGACTATTTTTACTTTCATGTGACAGCTCTAGAAGCAATTGGACAGTTGATTTACTGCAGGGCTAGGAAGCCTGTGGCCCTCCCCATATTGCTGGACTAAGGTTGTATTCACATGTTTAGGGAAGCGAGAGCCAGTGTGGTGTAGTGGCTAAGAGCGGTAGTCTCCTAATCTGGGGAACCAGGTTCGTGTCTCCGCTCCTCCACATGCAGCTGCTGGGTGACCTTGGGCCTGTCCCACTTCTCTGGAGTCTCTCAGCCTCACTCACCTCACAGAGTGTTTGTTGTGCGGGAGGAAGGGAAAGGAGAATGTGAGCTGCTTTGAGACTCTTTAAAGGGAGTGAAAGGCGGGATATCAAATCCAAACTCTTCTTCTTCTTTTAATGTTTGATGTATCACAGTATTTTAATATTCTTTTGGAAGCCGCCCAGAGTGGCTGGGGAAGCCCAGCCAGATGGGCGGGGTATAAATAATAAATTATTATTATTATTATTATATTATGTGCTCTCAACAGCAAACACCCAGATCCTCATAGTTTCCCCCTAAGATGAGATTCTTTCTTTATCTCCTATTAAGAATAAAACACCTTGTTCTCCTTTTGGTTTGTTTGCTCCAACCATTGCACTTTACTCTCCACCCAGAATTAGGAGCACCAGACCTTTGTGTCAACTTAGCATTGTCTATGCTGCCTGCCAGTGGGTCTCCAAGATCCTCTTCCACTCTTCCAGCTCTACCTTGGAGAGGCCAGAGATCAAACCCTGGGACATCAGATGAGGTTGAGACCAATATTTAATCCATGCAAGAGAAATGATGGTTCGGCAGCTTTTAAAATACTTTTCAGTATGTATGCTACTAAGTGAATTTCAGGGGGATCTTAACAAGTAGTCAAAGATATCTGTGTTTGTAGTTAAACTGCAGGAAACCATAATTTCAATATAAATATACTGTACCATGTTTGGGGGCGGGGAATGCTTACAACGAAACTTTGATAGTTGCATGCCAGGCAAATGCTCTAACCACTTCTCTCTCGCCTTTTTGCCGTGGGTGATCTGCCTGCCAGTCAGCACACCACTTCTCCTCTGCTTTACACCTCTGGTCTGCACACCAGACCCACATTTTCTTGTAACAATACCAAAAATAAAAATCTAGGAAGTTTGAGAACTGAACGCCCTCCCTTCCCCCAAAAGTTACACATTCTGATCACCACTGAACTTTGCTCCTCTCCACTACTGGAAAACAACAACCGAGAATTCTAAAAAAGACATAACCACCATTCTGGAGAAAAACACACTCATGTGATATAGCAGACAGCCATTAGGCAGAAGATAATCTACATGACACACACACACATACACAGTACTTACCGTGAGCTACCATCAAAGACAAGGAGAAGCTGAACCAAAATAATTCCATGGATGTGGTTTGGAAGAGAAGTTATTATTTCTTTCTAATTCACAGATCTAGCTTGCTGTCCCTGGCTGGTTCCTCTGTTCTGTGCAGAAAGAATGTTCTGCCAACCTCTCTCCCTCTTTCTCTCTCTCTCTCTGCTTATTCCTTCAAAAAAAGAAAAAGAAAACTCTTTTTCCCCTCTGGCCCCACCCCTGAAATCAATTGGAAAGGAACTTTTATCATTTCTGCTATGCAGAACTTCAGAGGGTGACGCAGTCGATGATGTGACTGATGCAGGAAGAGGAGAAGGGGGGGGACGGGGGAAAGTGGTGACAGTTTTCTTTTGTGTGCTGGGTATGTCTCGAAGGTTTCAAGGCTCTTCCCTGAAATGCACTCTCATCGTCAGCACAGAGCCCCGGAGAATGTGAAACCAGAATGAAGAGGAAGCAAGCCTCATCTCCACTGACTCCTTGCAGTCCTTGGAGGGAGGGAGATTAAATAAAAAGCAGGAATGGGGCAGGGTGGGGGGCAGATTCCTGGTTGGCCCATGATCTCGCCTTTTATATGGTTTTAGAGCTGGGGAAGGTCATCTCAGAGACGCCACCCTTCTGCCCCTAAGGAGCCCCGGGTGGCAAACTGGTGTAGCATTTAAAACAAATTCCTGCCCCCCAGCCCCCCCGGATATTCCAAGGGGGCCCCAGGTGAAAATCGTGCAAACAGGGGGCCATAGCACAAGGCTAGGGGTCCACAGAGGGAGGTGAGAAGTGAAGGGGGAAATCCTGATTGATGGGGTATCCTCTTGGCCAGTCACAAGTAGTAGAGGGCAGCCCACCAGGGCTAATGCTTCCCCCCCTTTTTGCCACATGTGTTTTCTTAGAGTAGTGAAACTTAATTCTCTCCTCTTAGGCAAAGATCATAAGACGACCTGGCTGGTAGCCAGATTCTGCGCCCAGATTTGTAGGCACAGATCATCCTCTAGTATAAAATAGCTTACTAGGGAAATGCTGAAGTTTCCCTTTGGGGCGCCTCAGGGTCAATTTTTTATGGTAGCCCAAATCTCAGTTGGACGGGTGTGTGTGTGTGTGTGTGTGTGTGTGTGTGTGTGTGTATAAATTTTAACTCATGAGCTATTGCTGCAATCTGCTCCAATTGTATATTTTATCTTTATGAACTCTGTTTTTATTGTGTTGTGTTGTGTTGTGTTGTGTTATGTTGTTATGTTATGTTATGTTATGTTATGTTATGTTATGTTATGTTATGTTATGTTATGTTATGTTATGTTGTTATGTTATGTTATGTTATGTTATGTTATGTTATGTTATGTTAGCTGGTCTTTGACCGTATTAAATTATCTATCTCTCTTAGAGCAGTGCTGGTTTGTTTCCGGAGGGAGAGGGCAATTGCTGAGCCTCCCATTTTGACCAGCAGAGCCCATGATCCAGAACCCCCAGGTCAGGTAAATGCAGTGATGGGGTGGCAATGGGTAGGGCTGGGTGAGCCAGAGCTGCTTGTTGCTGCCGCCAGTGCTGGGCCCAGAGGATCAGCGCCTTTGGATGTTGCCAAGGGGCGGAGGGCCCATCAGCAACGTTGGCTTGGCTCTGCAAGGTGAAATCCGCCCCAGGGCCTAGCCGAGCTGGGTCATCTGGAGCTGCTGACTTCATCTAGTAAATAACTGTTTACTCAGAAGAAAGCCGATGGGACACAGGTGGTGCTGTGGGTTAAACCACAGAGCCTAGGACTTGCCAATCAGAAGGTTGGCGGTTTGAATCCCTGCGACGGGGTGAGCTCCCGTTGCTTGGTCCCTGCTCCTGCCAACCTAACAGTTCAAAAGCACATCAAAGTGCAAGTAGATAAATAGGTACCGCTCCAGAGGGAAGGTAAACGGCGTTTCTGTGCGCAGCTCTGGTTCGCCAGAAGCGGCTTAGTCATGCTGGCCACATGACCCGGAAGCTGTACACCGGCTTCCTCGGCCAATAAAGCGAGATGAGCGCCGCGACCCCAGAGTCGGTCACGACTGGACCTAATGGTCAGGGGTCCCTTTACCTTTACAGAAGTAAGCCGCACTGAGTTCAGTGGGCCTTACTCCCAGGTAAGGGTGTGTGGAGCGATAGTGTTTTATTGAGGCAGCCTCGGAATGACAAGACCTTTTTGCACCAGGTCAGTGAGGACCACTTGCTTTTAAAAATTCTCCCATATATACACAACTGCCTGTGAGCCTTTTGGACCATATCTGTAGGTCCGTCCCCCCCCCCCCCCCCCCCGTGTCAAATAACTTACAATATATTACAATTTATTTAAAACTCAATAAGATAGACAGCAATGCAATAGCATTACATCGGGGAAGAGTGCGTGTAAGTCCCACCGACCCCATTTTCTGATGTTCCAGCACATGCCAATTTGCAGCTGAGGTTTTGTACACACAATACATTTAAAGAACATTCAAAGCATAACATTTCCCTCAAGGAATTCTGGGCACTGTAGTTTATATCCCACAGAGTTATGATTCCCATCAACCCATAATAAACCATGGTGTCCAGAATTCCTTGAGCACTGTGATACCCCTTTGGATTTTCAAGGCCTTCCCCCAAAGAATTCTGGGAGCTGTAGTTTGTTAAAGGTGCAAAGACTTGTTTAGGAGACTCCTAGTCCCTTACCAGACCTACAGTTCTCAGAGTGGTTTGACACTTCCTAAGGTTCTCTGGGAACTGTAGGTCTGGGAGGGGAATGGGGGTGGCCTAAACAAGTCTCAGCACTTTTAACAAACAACAACACCCAGAAATCTATGGGGGAAGACTTGAACGTTCAAAGTAGTTTTGTAGCACTTTAAAAGTATGCTGATTGTGGCCTACGTTTTGCTCAGCACAGACTCACTAAAATTAATGGACCTAATTTTGGTGGGTCTACTCTGCATAGGACTAGCCTTTGAGCCAGCCCATAGTTTTCATGACTTTTTGAAAGGCACAGGCAAGTACAGTTGTACCTTGGAAGTCGAATGAAATCCGTTCTGGAAGTCCATTCGACTTCCAAAAAGATTGAAAACCAAAGCATGGCTTTTGATTGGCTGCTCCTACAGCCAATTGGGAGCAGTGGAAGCCCTGCCAGATGTTCGGCTTCCAAAAATAGTTCACAAACAGGAACAGTCACTTCTGGGTTTGCGATGTTCGGGAGCCAAAATGTTTGGGAACTAAGCTGTTTGACTTCCAAGGTACTGCTGTACTTTGCAGTGCCTACTCAGAAGTAAGCCCCAGCCCCACTGAGTTCAAGAGGACTTGCTCTCAATAAGTGAGTGTAGGATTTCAGGTGTACATGAACAAACACACAAGTGGAATCTTGATGACATAGCATGAATCACTGTCTATTGTGAGCCACACACACTGAGCACAGCATCTGACTCAGCCTGGCGAAGTTCCCTCAGGCCTACAAATTGAAATGGAAGGCAGCTGTTAAGGAAATGAGTGCTGGCACTGAATTTGATGGGTCTACTTGAAAAAGCATGTCTGTTTTAGGCAGGCACTGAAAAGAATACAGGGAAGGTGGCTGCTTGATCTCAAGAGGCAGGGAGTTCCAAAGTAGATCTCAATGGATGACTGTGTTTTGGCTTAAGTATTCTTCCAGAAAGTGCAAATTAGGTAATTTTTGCATTTACAGTGGACCTTCTAGTTATGTACCGCTCTGGATACGTAACTTTCGGTTTACGGACGTGGCAAACCGGGAAGTGTATACTTCCGGGTTTTGCCACACACACATGCGCAAAAGCGCTCAATCACACCGCACATGTGCGCAGAAGCGGCACCTCTGTCTACGGATGTTTCGGGTTGCAGGCAGACCCCCAAAATGAATTTAATTTGTATCCAGAGCGTCCACTGTAAAGGCAAACCGAAATGAATTCCTCCATAGTCCCTTACGGTGGCTAACCTTCCATCATTTAATTGTCTCTTTATGGTGGCCGATGGGGGTTTTAAAATTTCAATGGTTGGCTTTAAATGGTTAGCAACTTTTGAAATGCTTTTAGTTTTGAAGAGCAAGGTTGTTGTTGTTTTTAAAATAAGCTTGTGAAGATTACTTGATGCTGGGAATGGAGGAGAATTTCGAATCAGTACACATATGAATCTGAATCTATCAAATTTTCACTTTCTGAAGCATTATGCGAACCAAAACACAACTATCCTCTGAAATGTGTACATATCTGAATTTTGCAATGCAATTTGTCAGCCAACCAATGTTCCAATGTTTACCCCCAAAAAAGCACATTTAGGGGAAAGTGTGCATAAAAATGAATAAATGAGTGAAAAATGACATGCAAACATGCATTATATATGGAGAAATTGTTTGCAAGGAAACCTACATTACTCACAAGTGCATATTAAAAAGTATTGCTTTTAGATGAAATTTGCATGAATGTGATGAATTTTCATGGGGTTTGTAAAAAAAAGAACAATTGCAAAATGTGAAGAACTGAATTTAAGTTTGGAACAATGAGAAACTGAGGAAACTGAAATTGACAGATCCTTCCTACACCTACTCGATGCAAACTCATTTGAGGAAATGCTCTTTCAGAGGAAACTACACAAAGCGCTAAACTGAATGTTGTGACGTTCTTCAGACTTGCTGCTTATGAGGCAACTGGGGAAAGAGGAAGGCCACGTGGCAAAAGCAGACAGGACTTCTTCCCCTTTATCTTGGATTCTCCTGGGCACTCTTAATCCCATCATTGTTTGAATCACTGCTGACTAAGCCTTCCCTTATACTGACCACACAGAGCAGCATTGAAACCCAAACAATCTGATTTCAGTTTTAAACCAGAAACCCAACTTTTGGGATGAGTTGAAGGGACATTGCCACTCACAACTGCTACCTCACAGAGCACAATGTTACTTATTGTTTGGGTAAAACGCTGGCTGTTTGGACAGGCCAGTTGTGGGCTTGAGCAGAGGGGGTCCTCTGGAAGGGGTTCCTTCTGTGGGGACCTTTCAATGCACCCCCAGAGGCTACCGCAGTAGCATCCATTGCTCCTCCTGAATGGTGCCAGGTGGGTGCATTTTAAATTTCCCACAACTGTCCTTAAAATATAGAATCCACACAACGAATCAAAGCATATAATAGTAAGGTAAAGGTAAACGACCCCCCCGAAGAAAGTGTGCATGCACACGAAAGCTCAAACAAAAAGAACTTAGTTGGTCCTTATAAGGTCCTACGGAAGGAAATTTTTTATTTTGACTATGGCAGACCAACACGGCTACCTATCTGTAACTGGAACCCCTCCGAATGGTTAAGTCAGTCAAA